TTATTATTATTATTATTATTATTATTATTATTATTATTATTATTATTATTATTATTATTATTATTATTATTATTATTATTATTATTATTATTATTATTATTATTATTATTATTATTATTATTATTATTATTATTATTATTATTATTATTATTATTATTATTATTATTATTATTATTATTATTTATTAGCGACTGCACGGTGCCGTTCGCAAAAAGGAAAAAATGCCGTCGCAAAACATTAGCGACGGCACTTACCGTCGCAAAAACTCTTTTGCAACCCCTGCAGTTGCGACCCCCCTCTTGCCGTCGCAAAAAGTCATTTTGCCGTCGCAAAAAGTATTAGCGACGGCATTAGGAGTATTAGCGACGGTATTTTACCGTCGCAAAAAGTCAATTTTTTTGTAGTGAAATATGATTAACTAGGGTTTTTCACTGAAATTGATTGAAAATATGAGAACATTGACAGCAATGGTACCACACTCAACATTGAAACTTAAATTTAAAGGAATGGGATATGATTAAGTAGGGTTTTTCACTCAAATTGATTCAGAATATGAGAACATTCACAGCAATAGCAGCAAAATCAATATTGAAACTTAGATTGGAAGCAAGAGAACATGTTTAACTAGGGTTTTCAGTCAAATTGATTGCAAACTTGAGAAATTCACAACAATCATGTCAAACTCAATATTGAAACTTAAATTGAAATCAAGAGAATATGGATTAAGTCCGGGTTTTTACTCAAATTGACTAAGAATCTGAGACCATTAACAACAATCGTATGAAAATCAACATTGAAACCCAAATTCAAACCAAGGGAACATGATTCACTAAGGTTTTTTACTCAAATCATCTAAGAATCTGAGAACATTCACAGGAATCATACCAAAATCAACATTGAAAGCCAAATTTAAACCAGAGAATAAGATTCACTAAAGTTTTTTACTCAAATTGTCTAAGAATTTGAGAACATTCTCAAGAATCGTGACAAAATCAACATTGAAAGCTAAATTGAAACCAGAGAATAAGATTCACTAAGGTATTTTATTCAAATTATCTAAGAATCTGAGAACATTCACAGGAATCATACCAAAATCAACATTGAAAGCTAAATTGAAACCAGAGAATAAGATTCACTAAGGTTTTTTACTCAAATTGTCTAAAAATTTGAGAACATTCACAAGAATCATGCCAAAATCAACAATGAAAGCTAAATTGAAACCAATAGAATATGATTAACTAAGGTTTTTTACTAAAATTGATTGAAAATATGAGAACATTGACAGCAATGGTATCACACTCAACATTGAAACCAAAATTGAAAGGAATAGGATATGATTATGTAGGGTTTTTCACATAGTTTTAGTAAGAATCTGAGAACATGAACAGCAATGGTACCCAAATCAACATTGAATCGTAAGTTGGAAGTAACAGAAGTTGATTAATTAGGGTTTTCACTCAAATTCAATTTGAATTTGAAAACATTAACAACAATGGTACTAAAACCAACATTAAAAACTAAATTGAAAGTAAGAGAACATGATTAACTAAGGTTTTTCACTCAAATTCATTAAGAATCTGAGAATATTAATAATAATCGCACCAAAATCAACATTGAACTTAAACAGAAGGCAAGAGAACATGATTAACTAGGGTTTTTCACTCAAATTCACTAAGAATCTGAGAATATTCACAGCAATTGCACCAAAATCAACAATGAAGCCTAAATAGAAAGCAAGGAAACATGATTAACTAGGGTTTTTCACTCAAATTCACTTACAATCTGAGAATGTTCACAGCAATCGCACCAAAATCAGCAATGAAACCTAAATAGAAAGCAAGCGAACATGATTAACGAGGGTTTTTCACTCAAATTCACTAAGAATCTGAGAATATTCACAGCAATCGCACCAAAATCAACATTGAAACTTAAATAGAAAGAATGAGAACATGATTAACCAGGGTTTTTCACTCAAATTCACTAAGAATTAGAGAATATTTACAGCAATCGCACCAAAATCAACAATGAAACCTAAACAGAAAGTAAGGGAACATGATTAACTAGGGTTTTTCACTCAAATTCACTAAGAATCTGAGAATATTCACAGTAATCGCACCAAAATCAACATTGAAACTTAAACAGAAAGCAAGAGAACATGATTAACTAGGGTTTTTCACTCAAATTCACTAAGAATTTGAGAATATTCACAGCAATCGCACCAAAATCAACAATGAAACCTAAACAAAAAATAAGGGAACATTATTAACTAAAGTTTTTCACACAAATTCACTAAGAATGTGAGAATATTCACAGCAATCGCACCCAAATCAACATTGAAACCTAAATAGAAAGCAAGAGAACATGATTTTTGTGGCATTACAATGAATGTTCTCAGATTCACAAACAAAAACAAAAACAAAAATATCGAAAACAAAAGTTTCGAACTCAACATTCAAGCTGAAATGGAAATAAAAAAACAAAAGGTTCGAAAATGAAAGTTTCGAACTCAACATTCAAGCTGAAATAGAAATAAAAAACAAAAGTTTCGAAAATGAAAGATTTCGCAAAAACTAGGGTTTAAGATACTAGAATCTTACTTGTTTTCACCATTTTTGGTTGTTCGGATGTCTGAATGTTTAATGATCTAGTTTGTTTTTGTGAAATCTAAGACGAGATTGATGAAGGAAGACAAAACGTGAGGCGAAATTGATGAAGGTGGGAATGAAATCTGCGAGAGCGAGAAATGGCGGGATGAACTGTGAATGAAATCATGAATCTGCGATTTTTTTTTGTGTTTTGATTTGATAAGGGTAGTTTCGTCATATTAATGGATTATGGGACTTACTAGTTAAAAGTTTTTGAACTAGGACTTAATGGACCATTATTTGCTAAAACGAGACTTACCTGTAAATCACCCATAAATTAACATATAAATATGGTAAAAGAAAAATGGGACATTTATTTGTAAATGTCTCTTTACTTGCTTATTTTCCACTCCAAATTATATTTTTATATTCTAATAATTCTTATATATGACATAATCATCAAAATATCTCTAATAATAATAGGGTGAAGTGTGCATTAATATTCACATTAACAGTGTGAATATTCAGAATGTTTTGTGATATGAACATTCACACTGTCAAATATTAATGTTTATATCACCAACCTGCTAAAGGTTCAAAAAAAATTTGTAAGGGTAATATTGCTCATAAAATACCTTAAATATAATAATTAAAATTAAAGGATTAAATATCTAAATAATAAGATTTATCAAAATACAAAAATATATTATGGATTAATTGCGATATATTTTTAATAAATTTTTAGAAAAAAAAAATATTCAGCTTGTTTGGTTTTGATTTTCAGAAAATTCTATTTTTTTTATTTTTCATATATATTTTTTTTGTTTTCAATGAATTTTTTTAATATTTCAAGAATTTTTTTAAATTTTTAGATACACCTAACATAAATACACTTAAAAAGTATAATATTTGTGAAAAAAATCTTTAAAAAATTCACTAAATATCAAAAATACCAAAAAAAAAAATTCAGTACATTTTTCATATTTTTTTATATTTATTAAATTTCTAAAATATTTTTTCATATATATTTTATTATTTAGATACATCTAAGTAAAGTATATTTAAAAAAGTAGAAAAATTATTTAAATTTAAAAAAAAATTCACTAAAAAAAAATCAATTTCACTAAAACATGAAAAATAAAAAATTCAATTTTTAAAAAATTGAATTCAGAAGCTTAAATCAAATATATGCCTTCATTTGGCATGCCAAACTTTTTTATTTTTTAATTATTTTAGTCAAAAAATAAAATAAACTAAAAATATAATAAGATAAAACTTCACATTCAAATTATAATCATTTCATTTTTTTTTCACAAAAATCAATAAAATTAAAAAATCTAACGCAGCCAAAACTTTTTAACTCCAAACTAAAATAAGTAAAAAGAGTAATGCTAGAGACCCCAAATATTCTACCAAAAGTTCTACCAAATATCTCACATAGGTGTGGGACCCACACAATGTGGGTCCCATGTGGGTCCCACACCCATATGAGACATTTGGTAAAATTTTTGATAGAATTTTTGAAAAAATTCAATTTTTAAAAAATTGAATTCAGAAGCTTAAATCAAATATATGCCTTCATTTGGCATGCCAAACTTTTTTATTTTTTAATTATTTTAGTCAAAAAATAAAATAAACTAAAAATATAATAAGATAAAACTTCACATTCAAATTATAATCATTTCATTTTTTTCTCACAAAAATCAATAAAATTAAAAAATCTAACGCAGCCAAAACTTTTTAACTCCAAACTAAAATAAGTAAAAAGAATAATGCTAGAGACTCCAAATATTCTACCAAAAGTTCTACCAAATATCTCACATGGGTGTGGGACCCACACAATGTGGGTCCCATGTGGGTCCCACACCCATATGAGACATTTGGTAAAATTTTTGATAGAATTTTTGAGACCTCTAGCATTTTTGAATTAAAAAACCAACTCCCCTCCCTCAACAACCCTAAATAAATTATTAAGGGTATGGCTTATGTCCAGTCTAGGATCTGATTGGACTATGCTGTTGGGCCCATAAGGGCCCACCACGGGTCCCGTTTTGATAATTTGAACCGTGCAATGTGTAGAACTCGTCGAGTACTATATGCCTACAAAAAAATACCTTGATCGGATATCGATAGCTATATGATCAAATCAGTTTCGTATTTCAAAAATTAGACGATAAACAAATTAACGGTTGACAAAAAACTATTTTGATCACATAGCTTCGATATCCGATCAATGTGATTTTTTACAGGCATATAGTACTCGACGATTTCTACATATTAAACAGCTCAAGTTATTAAAACAGAACCCGTAATGAGTCTTTACGGACCTAATAGTACGGTCCAAGCCGATCCCGGACTTGACAGAAGCGATACCCAATTATTAAATATTCTAGGTATCAAAATGGAAAGAGAATGAGAGAGAGAGAGAGAGAGAGAGAGAGGGAGAGGAAATGAATAGAAGGTCAAAACTAGAGGAGGGAATGATTGGTTGAACAACATAGACGAGAGTTCCCAGTCTTCAAGACTCTGCTGATATAGAGAGAGAGAGAGAATGGCGTGGTGCGCCGCCGTAAGATCCTTACTTGTGCCGGCGATCGACGTGGGCACACTGCGGACTCGGGCTCCTTTAGCCGTCGGCGTCGGCTGCGTATCGGCGGCGAGCTGGAGCCTCTGGCGATCGTCGTCTTCCTCGTTGCCATCGAAGCCCTTCGCTTGCTTGAGCATTTCAACTGATGCCAGTAACACTTCCTTCTTCTCTTCCAATTTTAGGGTTATTATGGTTTAATCACTACTGATTAATTGCTTCTAATTAGTGTGTTCTTTTAATATAATCAAAATTTTAAATTTTGTACTTTTATTTTTTTTTATTTTTTTTACATATTTGTGGTGATTCCCATTGAACATTCATGTATTTTGGTGTTCTAATTTTGTATTTGTAATTTTCTGATGTAATGTAGTGGAAAACATTGATGTAATTTAACAGAATTTAAAGCAAAATGACACTTATCTAAGGCACTGTTTGGTTGGCCAATTTACTATTTCTGCGTTTGAAGGTGGAATTTTGCTTCCATTATTTGCTCAGAAAGCAAGAAAAGTACATACCCAAGCCCTAACCAGGTGGTACTTGATGAAATTATGCATTTTCATGTACTGCCATTTTACAATATCAATAGATTGTGAGGCTCCCATATGGGCTGATTGGAGTGTGAGAGGTTGATTGTGCTGAAAATATTTTCTCGTGTAGTAGTCAATGAATGTATGACCTAAATTAAGTGGTCAACATTACCACACTGTTTGAATTATGGATTTGGGTAGAAATTTAGAAAGGGAAAAGGTGGGTGAAATATGCTGAAATGTAGCTATATTTGATTCATATTGCACCTACTTTTTCCCTTTTTCTTTCCAAATTTCTATCCAAATTCATCATCCAAACACAGCCTTAGGCTTCTGATTTTCTTCATTTAGTTTCTTAGACATATTCTGTGTGGATATATCATATATGCTTTGCATTGATTTTAGGTATAAAGGAGGCTGTTAAAACTGACAAGGCTCCAGCAGCATTGGGACCGTATTCTCAGGCCATCAAAGCCAATAACCTTCTCTTTGTGTCTGGTGTGCTTGGTCTCATTCCAGAGGTTGTTCTTATTGCTATTACGTATTTGATTGTTATTTGTTTGATTATTTTTCCATCAGTCCAAAATATGAATTACTGTATACGGTGTCTCCTTTTTTGTATTTTATCTGTTCAAGCTCATAAAATTGTTTGGTGTTCAAATGCAGACTGGGAAGTTTGTCTCAGAATGTGTAGAGGATCAAACAGAGCAGGTAACTTACTACTGACATGTAAACTTCTTGTGTGATATATCTATACTATTATATATGTGAGCACATGATTTGGTGTCTAATAGTGTAGTGACTTCTCTTTCTGCCACATGGCAAATTTTCCTATCCTAAAATAAAAAAATATTTTTCAAAAGTGTGAGTAAGATTTGAACCTAGGACCTTAAGTTTCATTAAGAACACTCTTACCATTTAGACAAAATATATATTATGATATTAATTTATTTATTATTTATTTTTATGCTTACTTATCTGAATTGCACACGCATTGCGTGTGCCACCCACTAGTATATATATATTTCTCACTTGCTTTACAAAAGTATATTTGCATGTGATGTATGGCACACCTTTGAAATTGAGAGGAAGCCTTTGTATGAGTAATCTGTAGCAGTGCTATAGGGATCAAGAAGCTCCAGCTTGGTTTATTGCCGTGTAAATAGAGATCTTGGTTGTTAGTATTATCCTCTTTTTGTGTTATGTTAGAAGAAATAATTCAGAGAATTTCAACGTTGATGTATCTGAAATAGACACTGATTATTGTAGTGCACTTGATTGTTGGTAAAAAAATAAAAAATAAAAAAAAGAAACTTATGCCAAAAAAATAAATTTGTTGGTAAAAAAGAAGGAAATAAAAAAGAAGTGCCCTTTATGTCTTTCCATTTTTCAATTTGTGAGATGGGTTGCTGACAGATTTGAACATACGAAAAAGCAGGTTCTGAAGAATATGGGGGAGATACTGAAAGCAAGTGGTGCCAACTATTCCTCCGTAGTCAAGACGACAATCATGTATGTAATATTTGTATCTTTGCTTTCTGTTCATGTTTCTTAGATATCGAGATCCAGAATGTTAACGAGTTTCTTATTACTTTTCCTTACAGGTTGGCTGATTTAAACGACTTCCAGAAAGTGAATGAAATCTATGCAAAATGTGAGTTTCACAATACCATTAGCTTAAACACTATATCTTTTGTGCTGCCAACTTTGGTGTATCATGTTGAAAATAAACTCCTAAGTGGAACTTTAGCCTGCACACCCTCTAGGTTCCTTAAGATGTGGCAACCACTTGTGTTGAAGGAGTGCCAACTTAGCTAGGGTTGTACCGAAAGAGGATAGGATCCACCTTATTTTCAATTTTCAATTTTCAATTTATAATCCCTTAAGCTAGTTCTTTCTAATGTGATACGATCTCATTATTGGATGATCCTGTCAATTTTTTTTTTTTGGTTTGAACTTGATCACTAATTTAGGTATTGAACCACAAAAATTGTAGAGTTTTTTTTCCTTGACATTGACATTATTGGCGGTTGATCTAACTTGGAGTTATGGTTTGTGTTGCAGACTTTCCCTCACCTGCTCCAGCTCGTTCAACATATCAAGTGGCGGCACTACCGCTGAGTGCAAGAATTGAAATTGAGTGCATAGCTGCGCTCTGAAACTGTAATATGATTGCGAGAATCCAACTTCCCAAGCTAGCGCTGGAACTAATAAAACACTAGGCAGCGTATCTGGGAAGTGTGTTTCGCAAATGTGATTCAAATCAAAAAATAAAAGTAAGTTCTGAATTTAAGATTAGGGTATCCAGTCCAGTTGTATTTTGTATGTTTTGTTGTTGGATTTCAAATTAATACATTGATCACTTAGTTTATTTGAAATTTATGCAGTATTGGCAAGTGGGTTTTTTTTGTTTTTGGTTAAAATTTACAAAAAGACAAAATATATTAAAATAGTCAATAAGGCAAAATATTATACAGTATGAAATTCATAATCATTTTATTTTTTTTCTTACAAATATCACATCTAATTATAAAAAAAAATTAAATCATATTTTTGAACATAAAATTTTTAACTTACTAAAAAAGTCAAAAATTAATACGGTTTACTTCCCAAATAATTGTGGAATGTGGATGGAAAGTTTCTTCCTATGGAGTACCAGGTCTTTTCAGTTTAAGTAAAATTTCACTTTGGTTCTCCTATTTTAAATTTCATCAATTTAAATTTTACTTTTTCAGTTTTGTTTCAATGTAACCACTCCTTTAATTGTTATTAACATTTTGATTAGGAAAATAAAATATGTGAAATTAGAGAAATCAAAATGAGATTTAAAAGAAATTATAAGGATAATTGGTATGATTTAATATATATATATATATTTTTTTTGTGCAAATTGCTAAAATTTTCAGGTGACTTAATAATTGACTGAAAAATCACATTTAAATTAATAAAATTTAAAATTATGTGAATTACAGTGAAATTTTACTTAAATTTAAAATACTTGAACATGACAATATCTTGTCTGCTGCTAGGCTAGGTGGGCGCAGGTCATTTAAGGCCATGGAACCTTTAATCTGCCATCCATCCACCAAATTGACAGATTAGAGAAAATCAATTTGCATTGGTGGATTGAGTGGATTGACAGATTTGCGGATGGATTTGAATCGGTTTGGCGGTTTAAAATTTTATAAATTTTCAATATAATTCAACTTGTGCACTTCTTCAAAAAAAAAAAATCAATACAGTCAATGACTTGAAAAAGTACTACAATTACTGCATGCCTCATTCAAAGAAAGAAATTTTAAAATTTTAGAATATTATAATCACGGCATGCCTCATCTACATATTATAATCATAACATGCCTCATCCACATAAAATATTACAATTTATGGTTCTTAAAATATAAAAACAATTCAAACCATCAAAATCATGAACAGAGCAGTAGTAGAGATTGTATGCCTCTGTATTATTACATCTATATCTATTTTGAAAAACAAAAACTAATCAGCATATATCATCTTTTTTATTTATTATTTTTAGAGTCAGATTTAAAAACCAAAAAAATATAGATAAATAATACATTTATTTTTTTCAACTTAAAAATTATATTCAAGTTGAAAACTCTTTTTCAACAGAATATTTAAACTTTTTTTCAATTGAAAACACAAACATAATATCTAAATAAATTGAAAACACAAAGTCTTACAAATTACTATGGGTGCTCGCGGTTTGGTAGTTCGGTTGTGGTCAAAGAAACCTCAGAGCCGTCATCCATCCAAAAGTAGGCGGATTGGAAAAAATCAATCTGCAACCGTCCGCTCGTCATCACACATCCGTCCAAAATATGGTAGATTGATTCGGTTTGGTCAGTTTGGGCGGATCGATATATCCACTACTCACTCCTACTGCTGAAAATCTCCAAAGTCAAAATTTGAAAAGTTATTTAGGGTTCGTTTGGCAATGACTTTTTTCATTGGCTTTTTGATTTTTTTGACTTTTTTAGCCTGTGATTTTTTTGTTTGTTTGGTTTTCTTATTTGACTTTTTTAGCTTTTGGCTTTGGAATGACAAACTTTTTTTTGTTAGCTTTTTGACTATTTTGCTTTATTTATTTATTTATTTTTTTGTCTATATGTGCTTATTTAGCCCAAAATATTTACCAAACCGGGGCTTAGTTGATTTTAAGAGTAATAATACTTTATGTTAAGAGAGAATTACAATTTAGTATAATTTTTTATAAGTAATTGTAAATAATTACATATTAGCAATAAAATTTATAAATATTAATAATTAAAGTTATAAATTTTTTGTATGTATTTATTATTATTTTGTGAAAGAGTCACTGAATTATAAATTCTCTTATTATTTATGTTATGATACTTGTTTTTTTATTAAAAAAATTAATATAAAAGTGATAAATTACATTATTTAAATTAGTAAAATTAAATTGAGATCATCATATATATTTATCTTATGAGCATTAAATAATTTTTTTCACATGACGTGAAGACAATTATTAGCCTGTATTAGTAAGCAACATTTAATAATAAAGCCTATTTTGAGAAATATGTTAAAAGCTAATTTTTTATTTTTTTTAAAAAAAATATACCAAAAAAATAGAAAAATAATATGACTCAAAAAAATCAAAAAATTTAAAAATTAACTTTTAACCTAACTTTCAAAATAAGCCGAAGAGAAAATATTTATACATATTTTTCTCAGTGAGGTTTGTAATAAGTTCGTAATAATCCATCCCTATCTCTAGGAATGACAACAGGCCGGGGCGAGGCCGGGGATCACACTCCCCATCCCCGATCCCCGATGGTGGAAATACCCCCATCTCCGGCACCGATCCCCGACGGGGAATCTATTACCACCCTCGTCCCCGTCCCCTAACAAGGATCGGGTTTCTCCGACCCCAAAAATTCTTCGGCCAAAAAAAAAAAAAAAAAATCAGCTCTACATAATTACAAGAATTCATCAACAACAAATTTAACACATTTATCAACAACGGATTGATTCATCATCTTCATTTTCTTGATCTTCAGCAACACATTTACAACAGATCATCATTTACAACAGATCAACAAATCACAGAGAGAGAGATATTTTCAACAACAGATTTTCATTTTCTTAATCTTCATCAACAAATCTAACACATTCATCAACAACAGATTTTCATTAACAACATCTTCATCTTCATCTTTATCATTTTCAAATCTGAAGAACAAAAGCAAAAGATATATATATAGAGAGAGAGAGATGATGAGATACCGTGAGAGAGAGACGAGGAGATACCGTGAGAGGGAGAGGAGGAGAAGTGTCACGACCTAAACACGCCCCTATAAGTTTAGCGTCGTAACCAGCCAATAATCCTTAGATTACCAAAGGCCTTTTAACATAATAATCAATAATTAGGGGCTGCGGAAGCAAATACATAAAATATACATAGTCGATCGAGCTATGAAGACATACATGAGATTGATAATCTTAAACTTTTATAAACATACGAATGACGTCAAAAGATACAGTATACACGTCACTTCGTGTACATTAAAAAAAAACAAACAAACAAACAAACAAACAAACTTATTCATGGAGCAAAAGGAACAAAGTCTTATATAGTCATAAATAATACAGCCACTAGAGTTGACTTAATCTGGAACCTCCTCGGGAGGCACAAAGGTTGGCTGACAAAAACTGAAATGCCAGGTCCTCAACTCTGAGCCTGGACACGTGTCTGATCACCTACATACATAATATAAATAGAGAGCGGGAGCCCAGTGAATAATAACAGAGTAAAGGGTTAAATGAATGATGTCCCATGACTGAGCTTGTATATAAATTAGTTTCATGTTCGTGTTCTTATTCAATTCATATACAAAATTAAAAATTCATGCTTGATCATACATAGTTCATTCGTTAGCATTAAGAGATCATTTACAAAGCATCTTAGATTATACTTGTCAGTTCCATAGAGAAACCTCCGGCCGGGTACGAATAACTTGTCAGTTCCATAAAGGAACCTTCGGACTAGGAACGGATAACTTGTCAGTTCTATACAGGAACCTCCAGCCGGATGCAAATAACTTGTCAGTTCCATAAAGGAACCTCCCGACCAGGAACAGATAACATACTTGTGTCACAAATACTTATTAAAAATTGGACAATCATTCATAGTACAAAACATAACATTTCATAAAACAGATCTTATTTCATATATAAAAAATAATTTAACTTGAACATAACTTTACTAAGTTACTACTCACAAATAACAGATTGCCCCAAGTAACGAACAGAGTAAGCAATTTAGATATCTCAAGCCGCATGACCTACATAGATATAGATCGAATACATATTGAATTATACACTCGGAATCGTAAACTTAGTTCTTTCTTGTCTTAGTGTGTTTCTACTTCTTTATCCACTTTATGGTGTCTTAAACTTGACTTAGAAATGCCTAGGATGGAAAGATGGTGCAAAAATGCACTTGAAAACACTTAACAAAAATTGCTGAAAATAGGGTCCTCGCTCGAGCGTAACTTTCTACACTCGAGCGGATATGCAAAATGTGAGTAGTCGCTCGAGCGGTCTGTAAATTTTTGTAAAAGTGATGGTTGCTTGCTTATTTTTTTCGCTCGATACTCGCTCGAGCGTGAGAGACATGCCCTCACTCGAGCGCAACTTTTGTCGCTCGAGCGATCTGTAAAACACAAGAACTTCTAGGAGCATGCATTTCACGCTCGAGCATACTTTTGGTCGCTCAAGCGGAAATGCTCGCACTCAGAGTGGTCGCTCGAGCGTAGATTCCTTCACTTGAGCGAAAGTGTAAAATCTGGAATTTTCAGATTGCACTCCCAAGCTCAAAACTCAAATCTAACTCATCAAAACACAACTCTTGGCCTCAAAACTTGAGAAAACAAGTTTAAATTTTGAAAACATTAAGAATTAAAGATCACTTCACAAAATCAAGGCCCAAGAGTAAGTCAATTGGGTGAAATCAAACTTGAAACTTACAAAACAACACATGGACTTACATGCAAGCACTTTATTGACTTCAAAGCTTCCAAAACATGATCAATTGAAGCAAATTGATGAAAAACATGATGAAGTTTCATAATTAAGTTGAGAACATGACATGCATGGAGAATTTACTTGAAATCAACTTTAAAAATTAACATAAAATGCACATGCAAACTCTACTCTTCTACTTTCCCACTTCCTTAATTCATTTCATGCACTAATCTTTCATTTTCCTCTGAATTCACAACTTAAATGAGTCAGTTACATAATTCAAGGGTTGAATTCCTTACCTACAAGTCTCAATTCTTTGAGTCCTTGAGTAATTCTTCCCAATGACTCAAATTCTAGCTAAGTTCAAGTCAATTCCTCCCAATTCTCTAGCAATCACCTTAGTTGAGCTCAAGTCTTCTCTTTTCTCTCTCTACCTCAAGTTTGAGCTATGAGAAGTATGGAATGACAGTGCAAAATGTATTAAGGAAATCAAAGTGGCCTTATATAGGCTCTACTAGGAGAACTTCATTAATAGCTAAACAATTGACATTATTTATCTAATTTAATCGTTCCGAATTGAATTTCAATTGAACTTACTATAATGTTCTAAAAATTCTAATTAACACATAAATCAAGTCAATTTCTGAATCGGATGTTGATAAGGCCTTCAATTCATAAGCCGAAACGAAAACATGAACAAATCTTTCTACGTTAAATAGATATAAACATAAATAATGCAATGCATATGTAATTAACTCAGGATTTCTTCTTAATTACTTATTAGGCATACTTAAGCATGGATTAACGTTAATCATGGATCGGGTTTGTTATAATCTTTCCCCCCTAAAGAGTTTGGTCCTCCAAACTCGAGTTACCTTCATTCTAGAAGAACACCGGATTCAAATGAAACAACTCAGGGTATCTTCTTATCATGTCTTTTTCTGTCTCCCAAGTTGCATAAGTTCTTTCATGATTCTACTAATCAACCTTTATAAATGAAATCTCCTTGTTTCTCAATCTTTTGATTTGAAGGTTCATAATTTGTATTGGCATCTCCTCGTATGTATAATCATCTTTTAGAAGTACATAAGTCGGCTCAATCACATGTAGTGGATCCCTCAAATAATCTTGAAGCATAGAAACATGAAATACATTGTGCATATGTTCTATGACTGGTGGTAAAGCTACCCAATACGTCATTGAATTAATCTTCTCAAGGATTTCATAGGGTCCAACATATCTTGGTGTCAATTCACCTTTCACACCAAACTGTGTCTAGCCTTTCATTGGAGTCACTTTGATAAATACGCGATCCCCGACTTCATATTCCCTGTCTCTTCTTCGAACATCGGCATAGCTCTTCTGGCGTCTTTGTGCAGTTTTCAGTCTTTGTCAAATCAATTGCACAGTTTCAGTTGTTTCTTGTACCAATTCTGGTCCCAATAAAAGTATGTCACTTGCCTCGGCCCAACAGATCGGAGAACAACATTTCCTACCATACAAAGCTTCATATGGGACCATACGAATACTTGAGTGATAACTGTTATTGTATATAAACTCGGCCAAAGGAAGATAAGTCTCCCAACTGCCTTGAAAGTCTAACACACACATCCGTAACAAGTTCTCCAATGTTTGAATGGTCTGTTCTGATTGGCTATCTGTCTGTGGGTGATAAGCACTGCTTAATCTCAATTCAGTCCCCAAGGCCTGTTGCAAACTCTGCCAAAATCTTGAAGTAAACTTGGGATCTCTGTCAGATACTATGGACACTGGAACTCCATGTAATTTCACAATCTCATTGACATACAAATTAGCCAACTTATCCGTATTATACAAACATTTGACAGGTAAAAAGTGAGCAGATTTAGTTAGACGATCAATAATAACCCAAATAGAATCCATACCTCGAGAAGAGCAAGGCAATCCCATGATGAAATCAATGGTAATGTGCTCCCATTTCCATTCCGGTATTAGAAGTGGTTGTAATAAACCAGTGGGTCGTTGATGTTCAGCTTTAACTTGTTGGCAATACAAACATCGGGTTACAAAATCTGCAATGCTCTTTTTCATTCCAAGCCACCAGAAATTTTGTTTCAAATCATAATACATCTTTGTGTTTCCTAGATGTATGGCAAATTTGGAGTTGCGAGCTTCTGTCATGATTCGTTTCCTTAAATCAGAGCAATCCAGCACATAAAGACGATCTTGAAATTTCAACATATTGTTTTCAAATACAAACTGGGGTCGTGGTTCTGAGTCAATTTCATTTACAATCTTTCTCAGGAACTCATCTTACAATTGTTTCTCTTTAATTTCTTCGATGATTGTAGGTTGAGAAGAGATAGCAGCTAAGATGCCACCTTGTTCTCACAATACAACTTCAATTTCATTCTTTTCCAAGTCGCATAGTGATTCTTTCTGACCAGTAAGCAAACATGACAAATTTCCTATTAACTTTCAGCTCAAGGCATCTGCCACAATATTAGCTTTTCCCAGATAATATAAAATATGTAGATCATAGTCTTTGATCAATTCTAGCCATCTTCTCTGTCTCATGTTCAGTTCTTTTTGGATAAAGAAGTATATCAAACTTTTATGATCGGTGTACACCTCGCAAGTCACACCATACAAATAATGTCACCAAATTTTCAAAGCAAACACCACAGCTGCCAGTTCAAGATCATGAGTCGGGTAATTCTTTTTATGTGGTCGGAGTTGTCGAGAAACATAAGCAATTACCTTTTCATTTTGCATTAATACACAACCCAAACCTTTGTAGGATGCATCACTGTAAATCTAAAACCCATCAGTACCATTAGGTAAAGTTAAAATCGGTGTAGTTACTAATCTGGTCTTCAACTCTTGAAAGGCAGACTCCCTTTGATCATTCCAATCAAATGATACATTTTTCTAGGTTAATTGGGTCAATGGCATAGTAAGTTTTGAAAAGTCTTCTACAAATCTGTGATAATAGCCTGCAAGTCCCAGAAAAATTCTAACTTTTGACACATTCGTCGATTTAGGCCAGTCCACAATAGCTTTAATTTTCTGTGGGTCTACCGATATGCCATCCCTATTGATTACATGGCCCAAAAAGGCTACGTTGTCCAGCCAAAATTCACATTTGAAAAATTTTGCATATAACTTCCTTTCCCTTAGGATTTGTAAGGCAATTCTCAAATGATTCTCATGTTCTTCCCTGCTTTTGGAGTAAATCAATATATTATCATTAAAGACAACAATAAATTCATCCATAAATTTTTTTGAACACTTTATTCATTAAATCCATGAACACCGCAGGTGCATTAGTTACCCCAAATGGCATTACCAAAACTTCATAGTGTCTATATCTAGTTCTGAATGCAGTTTTCTCTATGTTTTCTACCTTGACCTTTAACTAGTGATACCTAGATCTAAGGTCAATTTTAGAAAACACTTGGACTCCCTGGAGTTGGTCTAACATGTCATCTATTCGGGGTAATGGATATTTATTCTTTGCGGTTACTCTATTCAACTCACGGTAATCGATACATACCCTCAAAGATCCGTCTTTCTTTTTAACAAACAACATTGGGGCTCCCCAAGGTGAGGTACTCGGACATATGAATTTCTTGTCTAAGAGTTCTTGGAGTTGAACTTTTAATTCTTTCAGTTCGAAAGTCAACATTCTATACGGAGTTTTAGAGATAAATTGTGTTCCAGGTACAACATTAATGGTAAACTCAATTTCCCTATTAATTAGATTTCCAGGTAAGTCATTAGGAAACACATCAGGAAATTCACAAACCACAAGAATAGCTTCTACACTGGTACTATCCGAAGATATAGGCATTACACTTCACAAGTAACCCCGACAACCTTTTCTCAATAATTTTCTAGCTTTTATAAATGAAATCAAGTATGGTGGAGAAACCACTCCATTCCCAGTGAACAAACTCAGGCATACCAAGTGGTTTAAATGTGACAATTTTATTTACACAATCAATAGTGGCACAATATTTCGACAACCAATCCATGCCCAATATACAATCAAAGTGGTCAATGCTCAAAGACAGCAAATCAACGTACAACGTCATATCACCAATCAAAACATCACATGTAGGATATGCATAGGTGCACATCATAGAACTTCCCAATGGTGTAGGCATAGATAGTATGCAATTCATAGGTTCTAATGATCTAGCCAACTTCCGAGAAAAAGCATGCGATACAAATGAATGCGTAAAACTAGAATCAATCAGTGCATAGGCATTCTATGCACAATTGAAATTATACCTGACACTACTAGCTCAGTATTCTGTACATCCTCGGGTACTAGATCAAAAATTCTCCCTTACCTTAGTGTTTCATTTCCGATGTTATTCTTGACATTAGTTCTTGCATTGGGCCTCGTTACAGGAGTAGATCTGACTGAACTTGCTGTTGGATGATTTGCATTGTCAAACCTCATTAGACAGTCCTTAATTATGTGACCGGTTTTGCCACAGTGAAAACACGCACCCGATGCACGATGGCACATGCCTTTATGTTTCCTTCCACATTCTAAACAGATTGGTATAGACCCACTACTTTGGCTTGAGCTGCTTGAAGATCTAGTATTTTGCTTTTTGTTTGTGAAGAAGAAACAACCCTTCCGAAAATTAGACCCAAATCTTTTGCTTCTCCCTTCTGTTGTTGGTGCCTTAGCTTGTTTCATTGCTACTATTGTGGCTTCTGCCATTATCGCTCTATCTAAAACTTCCACATAAGTAGGCGATTTCAAGACGCCTATTCGGTCAAACACTTCCAGATCCAGTCCGCCTTCAAATTTCCATGCCTTCTTGTAATCAGTATCCACCATATGTGGAGCAAATCGAGCCAACTCAGTAAATTTGGTCTCATGTTCAGCCACGGACATCCTGCCTTGTTTAAGTTCTTGGAATTCAGAAATTTTCTGATCTCGAAAACATTGAGGGAAGTACTTATCATAGAAGATCGAAATAAATTGTGCCCACATCATATTCCCATTATTGTTTCGGATTAGTAACCACCACCTCCGGGTTTTATCTTTCAAAGTATAGGTGGCCAGAAGGACTTTCTGAATTTCAAAGCAAGGGAATACTTTAAACAATTTCTCAATTTCAAGCAACCATGTTTCTGCTTTTAACGGTTCAATGCCACCCAAAAAGGTCGACGGTTTCATTTTTAGGAACTTCTGAGTTAAATTTATGAGATCATTGTTATCCAGCTCAACTTGGACCAGCGGGGGAGGTAAGGGTTGTTGTCTCTGTTATTGTTGAGTCATTGCCTCAGTTAAAGCTGCAAGCATTTGTTCCATACAGCTCATTCGAGCCTCAGATGATTCAGCTGCTCTATCACTTCTTGTATTTTCCATTTGCTATAGGTAAACGGAATGTCATAAATATAGGCAAATAGTCCTTTTACAATATTCAGATTATTTGTTTCCATATCATGTGATAATAATCAGATTTATGCTTTCACTTTCAAAAACACACACTTACACATGCAAATTAAATGCCCTTACTTCTTACTAGGACATCTTAAGCTCGTATGGACTCATGTGTGTGGTAGAACACGTGTTTTGATACCACTCTGTCACGACCCAAACTCGCTCTTATAGGTTTAGCGTCGTAACCGGCCAGTAATCCTTAGATTACCAAAGGCCTCTTGATATAATAATGAATAATTAGGGGCTGCAGAAGCAAATACATAAAATATACATAGTCCATTGAGCTGTGAAGACATACATAGGACTAATAATCTTAAACTTTGATAAACATACGAGTGACATCAAAAGATACAGTATTTATACGTCACTTCATCTACGTAAAAAAGAAGAAAAGAAAGAAGAAGAAAGAAAAGAAAAACTTGTTTATGGAGTAAAAGGAACAAAGTCTTATACAATCATAAATATCACGTGCCTGATCACCTATATACGTAATATAAATAGTAAACGGAAGCCCAGTGAATAATAACATAGTAAATGGTTAAATGAGTGATGTCCCATGACTGAGCTTGTACATAGATTAGTTTCATGTTTGTATTCTTATTCAATTCATATACAGAATTCAGAATTCATGCTTGATCATACATAGTTCATCCATTAACGTTAACAGATCATTTACAAAGCATCTTAGATTATACTTGTCAGTTCTATAGAGGAACCTCCGACCGAGTACAGATAACTTGTTAGTTCCATAAAGGAACCTCCGGACTGGGAACAGATAACTTGTCAGTTCCATAAAGGAACTTCCAGCCAGGTGCAGATAACTTGTCAGTTCCATAAAAGAACCTGCGGACCGGAAACAAATAACATACTTGTGTCATGAATACTTATCGAAAATTGGACAATCATTCATAGTATAAAACATAACATTTCATAAAACAGATCTTATTTTATATATAGAAAATAATTTAACTTGAACATAGTTTTACTAAGTTACTACTTACAGATAACAGACGGCCCCAAATAACAGACAGAGTAGGCAATTTAGATATCTCATGGCGCGTGACCTACACAGATACAGATCGAATACGTACTAAATTACACACTCAAAATCATTAACTTAGTTCTTTCTTGTCTTAGTGTGTTTCTACTTCTTTATTCTCATTATGGTGTCTTAAACTTGGCTTAGGAATGCCTAGGATGGAAAGATGATGCAAAAATGCACTTGAAAACACTTAACAAAAATTGCTGAAAACAAGGTCCTCGAGTGTAACTTCCTACGCTCAAACGGACATGCAAAATGTGAGTGGTCGCTCGAGCACAAGATCTGTAGCTCGAGCGGTCTGTAAACTTTTGTAAAAGTGCCGGTTGCTTGCTTTTTCCGCTCGATGCTCGCTCGATACTCGCTCGAGCGTGAGAGATATTCCCTTGCTTGAGTGCAACTTTTGTCGCTTGAGCGGTCTGTAAAACACAAGAACTTCTAGGAGTATGCATTTCACGCTCGAGCGTACTTCAGGTCACTCGAGCGGAAATGCTCGCACTCAAAGTGGTCGCTCAAGCATAGATTCCTTCGCTCGAGTGGAAGTGTAAAATCTGGAATTTCCTGATTACACTCCCAAGTTCAAAACTCGAATCTAACTCATCAAAACACAGCTCTTGGCCTTAAAACTTGAGAAAACAAGTTTAAATTTTGAAAACATTAAGAATTAAAGATCATTTCACAAAATCAAGGCCCAAGAGAAAGTCAATTGGGTGAAATCAAACTTGAAACTTATAAAACAACACATAGACTTACATGCAAGCACTTTCTTGACTTCAAAGCTTCCAAAACATGATCAATTGAAGCAAATTGATGGAAAACATGATGAAGTTTCATAATTAAGTTGAGAACATGACATGCATGGAGAATTTACTTGAAATCAACTTTAAAAATTACCATAAAATGCACATGCAAGCTCTACTCTTCTATTTTCCCACTTCTTTAGTTCATTTCATGCACTAATCTTTCATTTTCCTTTGAATTCACAACTTAAATGAGTCAATTACATAATTCAAGGGTTGAATTCCTTACCTACAAGTCTCAATTCTTTGAGTCCTTGAGTAATTCTTTCCAATGACTCAAATTCTTGCTAAGTTCAAGTCAATGCCTCCCAATTCTCTAGCAATCACCCTAGTTGAGCTCAAATCTTCTATTTTCTCTCCCTATCTCACGTTTGAGCTGTGAGAAGTATGGAATGAGAGTGCAAAATATATTAAGGAAATCAAAGTGGCCTTATATAGGCTCCACTAGAAAGACTTCATTAATAGCTAATCAATTGACATTATTTATCTAATTTAATCGTCCCGAATCGAATTTCAATTGAACCTACCATAATGTTCTAAAAATTCTAATTAACACGTAAATCAAGTCAATTTCTGAATCGGGTGCTGATGAGGCCTTCAATTCGCAAACCGAAGCGAAAATATAAACAGATCTTCCTACGTTAAACAGTTATAAACATAAATAATGCAATGCACATGTAATTAACTCATGATTTCTTCTTAATTACTTGTTATGTATACTTAAGCATGGATTAACTTTAATAATGGGTCGGGATTGTTACAAGAAGTCGCCAGTGAGGGAGAGAGGAGGAGCGGCGGTAAGGGAGGAGCCGCCGCCGACCAAACCAGTGAAGGAACGACAGTCATGTGTGTGAGAGAGAGAAGGAGGCGATGTTTGTGTGTGTCAAGTCAACCAAACCTAAACACACACATATTTATATATAAACACAGCCGGGGCTTAAATAAGACGAGGCAGGGCCTAGTCCAGGACTGGAAATTGTATCACCGTTCCCGACTCGAATATTATCGGGGATTCATTTTTAAATATCATTCCCGACCTGTCGGGGGTATTTTTTAGAAAAAAAATCACTCAATTTGAGATTGGAGAATCGAATCTCCGTCGAGCCGAGTTCAAATTGTCATGCCTACCTATCTTTATCCCATATCATATCGAATGCAAGATGGGAGATCGATTAATTTTATAAATAAAAAATATAAATAATAAAATATAATACGAAATCTATCGCACATGGTAGGGATGTATTATAATTGGTGTGTCTTGAGACTTTTTCAATTTATCGTAGTCTCGTGTACACGGGAACATTTCCACGGTGAGGTGGACAGTGTCCGAAACAAGATAAAACGGCGGCGTCCGAGACAGAAACGCATCAAATCGAAACCATCTCTCTCTCCAAAAACGCATTCTCTGACGAAAACCCATTTGAACTCAACAACCACACATTATACACACAACACAGACACAGAGATTAAACGAAAAAAAAGTAAGTAATAGAGTATCCAAACTTTCTCTCTCATATCTATCTTGTACACTCTCGTGGCCCCTCTTATTCTTTTCTTATCTTTGCAATTTTCTCCCTTTTCTTTACTTTAAAAAGCAATTCTTGGTTACGTATTCCATAGATCTAGAGCTTCCCTTCAAGCCTTGTACATTTTTTTTTCCTTTAATTTTTCTGGGTATGATTCTTACAGTTTTAAATTCCATTTTTATCGTTATTTGAATCTGGATGTACTTTTTTCTTGTCGAATTCTGCTTGCATTTGTTCACCCAGAGACGTTATACTTCATTATTCTCTATTTTTTTCTTGGTAAAATTCTATAAGGGTTAGATGGGTTTTGGATACATTTCTGTTTCTTGTATGTGTTCGATGTCATTCTTTATGTGAATCCGAATGTGTTTTTTAACCCGAATTTTACTTATTTAATTTTGGTTTTCTGCTGTTTGCTCTTAAGGTTCCGAAATTAGGTTTTTTCACATGTTATTGTCAATTGTCTATTGAATTTCCATATTCGATTGTTGTTCTTTTTTTTTCTTTTTTTTTTTCTCTCTTTGTTTTCCTTTCATAGGATAATCTTACTATAATCATATGGTTTTGGCTCTGTAACATTTTTAATCAATTGGCTTTATCATCTATTTGCAGTGATCATGAAATTTCCATTAATTTTACTTCTACATTGGATTGTTGAAGTAGTAGCTCACACAACTATTATTGTTTTCAGGTGCACATTTAGTTTTAATATGGAAGGTACTGTCATTAGGAGGGTCATTCCTTCAGACAACAGTTGCCTCTTCAATGCTGTTGGGTAAAGCTCTAATTTACAAAGCAAGCCTTATTTTTCACTCCTTTTGATTTGGACACACATAGGTTTTGATGTGTTTTAACTGTTTTTCCTTTGTGTTGTTTCTTCATTTGCAGGTATGTTATGGACCATGACAAAAACAAAGCTCCCGAGTTGAGACAGGTTAATCCCACCACCAATATGTACATCTAGAGACAATTTCGTAACAGATTGTATTACAACCATTATAATGTGTCTGTGTATTAGGGTGAATCGGTTTATGAAATTCTTAACACACAAGTTTTGGTCCATGGCATTTGAAACTCATGTCAAATGTGATCTGGAATTGTTATGTGTACTTGGCTTTCAGAAACAAAACGATTACTATTTTATTTCATATTGCTTGAATTTACTGCATTTATGATCCATGAGATGGAGGTATCTTTAATAAAACAACAAGTCAAATTTGATGTATATATGTATTTGCATTGTTACTTGGTAATTTTATATTTATTTTGATTTAAATTGAGTTTCTTTGTATGTTCGGCCAATTAATAGTACTTTTATTTAGATCACTGAATTGACAATCAATTATAACCTAATTGGGTTGTTTCAAGTTGTCTTTCCTTACTTTGCATGGATTGACTTCACTCATAGAATGGAGGTCACTAGGCTTGGTATTCCCTGTGAACATTGATTTGTTTTTGAGAATTTATAATCGAAATGAATCGAGAGAAATGAAGCTAGTGCTGTATATGGCTATAACTTCTGAACCGTGTAAAAGTGGTGATCATCCAAAACTTGAGTAAATTAAAAACATGATCTCCTATTGCCACGACTTTTTTTGCAGGGTCCACAATCCCCTAGCTACTGATGAGAGGGGTCCACCTTTGTGTGAGTTTTATAACAGAACTGAAGACATCTCACAATATAGTTCATTTATATGTGAGGATACGGTGATTATAGCTTTAGCTTGTAAGCTATTTGCATTTATGATGCCACACCAAATGCTTTTAGAAAGTTAGCTTACGTTACACTGATAGTATTATTGATATATATATATATATGTATTCATATTGTTTATGCAGTACGTGGACTTATTTTTTTGGGCACATATACACTTAACTAACGAAATAATTAATGCCTTCTGTTTCTTTGTTTCCTTTCCATTTTGTGGTCTTACCATTTTTGAAGGTTACAGCTGCGACAGTGGCAAGTGATCCGACACAATATTCTGAAGCATTCCTTGGGAAGCCAAATGAAGAGTACTGCACCTGGATTCTTGACCCAGAGAAGTGGGGAGGTGCGTTTTGAACTTATTTTATCGTCTGTTTGTTTATGATCTATCTAGAATTGATGAGAATTTATGAAAAACAACATGGGTCCATGAGATGAAATTGCTTGCAACTGCTTGCCTTCTCGGTCCTGCTATTACCACAGGATCAATGTTCACTGAGGCTCTTTCTCATTTTTTTGCATAGTGATATATGTCTTCCTATTATGTGTGCTTCTTGTCTGGCCTTGCTCCTTCACTAGGTCTATAATGAGAGACTTGGCCAAAAAGTATTGCTTGCATGCATACACTTGCAAAACGATATTACAGCAATGCAGAACGTGCTGGTTTTTATGGTCTCTGGTTGCTGTTTGAGGGATTTGAGTTAATTTTTCACTTTGATATCTTAAGCTATTGAGACGATTTTTGGTTGGTGGTATAGACTCGGTTCCCAGATACAATGGATAAAGTTTTTTTGCTCAGCAAGAGTACCCCTGAGGGGAGCAAGTTCTGAATAGTTCATCATACCCAGCCTAATTACAGTCGGATTGGTGACAAACCTAGTGCCCAGTTGGGTGCCCACTACCCAGGCGGCCTTTCCTCTTGTATTCCTTTGTTCTCCTAAACATAATCTGAGTTTTGAATTTCATTTTTAGTTCCATTTCATTCCAAAGAAACTATTCTTGAAGGTTTCTCGAATTACGATAATGCATGGTGCCATGATAAAAAAGAAACAAAGAAAAATGCATGGTACCTAGGTTTAAGGTTTCCTTTTTTCTTTTTCTTTTTTTTCTTTTGATGAGATAACCGAATTTTGTTACATCTCCATTCTTTACCTTTTTAGTTTTTTGGCACTAGTACTATCCTTTATTGTAGAGATGTAAATCTTTTTCCGTAGAAGTCATCGCAGTTTTTTTTCCCATTGCCTAATCCACCCGTGAGGCTTCTATTCTATTGTAATTCATAAATAATCTTTGTGGTGTGTGCGGTGGGGTGGAGTGGGGTGGGATGGGGTGGAGTAAGGTTTGGGGGAGAGCATTGGTAGCATGCTAGATGTCAAACCTATTTGCAGTTGGTGTTGAGTCCCACGGTGCTGAATATGCTTTATCCTAAAGTTTTATTGTTTCTACTGTAGTTCATTTATGCCTTTATGCTTGGATGTAAGCCATACTGGATGAACTGGGTTACCATTTGGTGTTTCTATTCTGTTTTTTTCTATCTATTCTTTGGAGTCTTAGTTTTATTATCTTCTAGGCAGCTTTCAATGAGATCTGAAATAATTTCAATTTTGGTTCAGAGCTTACAGGAATCATTCAAGAACGAAGATAATACTCTATTTAACTTCAATTTTCTCTTGACAGCCATCTCCATTCGAGTACATAGACCCTTAGGTTGGCCCACAAAAAAATCTGGTTGAGGTGATCATAATCAAATGAGAAGTTATGGGATTCTGATATTTGATTTTGCATGCATTGACTGAACATCAAGTAGTAACTAGATGTTCCATTGTTGACATTCGTAAAAAATTTAGAGAGTTACCCCTAAAAATCTGTTTCTTTAGACCATCTCTAACATTGAACCAAATTTTTCACCAAATTTGAGTTAAAAAAAGCTAATTTTCTCAATCTGATATTTCTTCCTCCAACCGTGCATCAAAAGGGGAGGGTCGACCGGCCGGTCGACTGGTAAGGCAAAAAAAATTTTTTTTTTTTTTTTACTTGTTTGAACCTTTTTTTTTGAATTTTTTGAACTTTTGGTGGTCGACCGGGTGGTCAACCGGCCGGGCCAGGACACGGGGACACGCCGGGGACACGGGGACACGCCGGGGACACGGGGACACGCCGGGGACACGGGGACACGCCGGGGACACGGGGACACGCCGGGGACACGGGGACACGCCGGGGACACGTACGGGACACGCCATCTGCCGTGTCCCTTTAATTTAATTGTTTTTCTTGTAGGGGACACGCGTGTCCAGATCTGGACACGGCGTGAACACGGCAAGGAGGGAGAGATAAAGGAGAGAGTGTGAAGGAAGAGAGTGAAGAGGGACAAACCTGTCGAAGATCGAAACTTCAAGCTCCATTAGTCGATCAAAGACCCCAGACGATCGCGATCTGTCTCTCTCAGATCGAAGCTCCATCAGTCGATCGAACACCTTTGCGATCTGCCTTCTCAGATCGAAGCTCCAAGCTCCAAGCTCCTTCGCGATCTGCCTTCACAATCTCTCTCTCTCTCGCAATCGCGATCGCGATCGAGACCGAGACCCTGTCTCCCTCACTCTCTCTCCTTCTCTCTCTCCCTTGCATCTGTGCATCTGTCGTTTTATTTTATCTGAGGGTTTATTGATTATATAATAACTATTATTATTATAAATTATATAATAGTTATTATATATTATAACATATTATTATATATTATATAATAGTTATTATATAACATATAACATATTTAATACATATTAATAAATAAAAAAAATAAATACATGTATATAAAATAAAATAAAAAAATTAATTATTTAAAAAATATAATAAATAAATAAAATAATTAATGTGTATTAAAATAAAAATATTTATAAAAAAATTAAAAAATTTGCCGTGTCCCCTGCCGTGTCCGTGTCCCTATTTTTTAGAAATTGCTGTGTCCCGTGTCCGTGTCCGTGTCCGTATGCGTGTCCGTGTCCGTGCTTCATAGCGCACAGTAAAGTGGTGAAATCTATACCCTGTTCTCACTTTGATGAATTTTTTGTTGAATTCTCATTTTGGTACCAATTTGCTGAAACCATTGGAGCTCCAAAAAGTGACTTTTTCACCAAAAATTAAATCTGATGCCAGGTTTGGTTCACCGTTGGAGATGCTCTTAGGAATTATTTTTGCTGTCTTGGCAATCAAATACATTGTGATATCTGCATAGATTATTTGTTTGTTAGAATGAAGCACTAGGATATTGTTTAGGTTAGTTCTTTCTGATCTATGCTGCTAATTCTTTTCATATATTTTATCTCGTGAAGGTGCCATTGAGCTTGCAATATTAGCAGATTATTATGGACGTGAAATTGCAGCATATGATATCCAAACCTTGAGATGCGATTTGTATGGACAGGTTAGCATGGGTGATGTGCTGTCATTCAGCTTAATCTTGTAAGCTAATATGACTTGAAATTTTTATATCCTTTTCTTGGGTTACTGTTTTAAACAGGGAAAGAACTATCATGAAAGGGTTATGCTCATTTATGATGGGCTCCATTATGATGCTTTGGCTGTATGTTCTCTCTCTCTCTCTCTATATATATATATATATATATACATACTAATATATATATATATAGCTGTATGTTTTAATTAACTTGGATTATCAATTTGCTTTTTGTTATTTTGGAAGAATTAGCAATAACAAGGAATGATGTTTCTGTTTTATGCCTCACTCCTCAGTCTTGCCCTATATGATGATTTACTAGATTTTAACTTCAGATGGTGTTCATGTCTCTGATCTCTAACTGTCATCACAATTGGATAGTTATCACATTCAACCATGAGCAAAGTAGATGAATTATTATAATGGAAGTTATATTTTATATTAGGGTTCAGATGACCAAACAATGGTATTTTAAGTAGCTGTGCTTGTATTATCTGGAGCCTCTTCTAACATTCAGACTCTAGTGAAAGATATGTTATTCAATATATTTTACCTCATTAGTGTTTGATTTCATGTCTTGGATTGCAGATGTCTCCATCTGATGGAGCTCCAGAAGAGTTTGATCAGACAATTTTTATGAAGGATGGAACTGCTGGAATGGTTGAACGGCTTGCTCTTAATCTTGTTAGGGAACAACAAAGGTAGTAAATGTTGTATTATTGACGCATACAGTACATTATTATTTTCATTACTTTCCTTTTTCAATTTAGAATACCAACACTGCTATAGCTGATAAAAGTTGTTTTACTGTATTTAGAACATGCATAACCAAACTTTGGAAAATTCATTGGCTGAAAATTTTAGGTGGTTTGCTTTATAATTAGTTCTTATTGCCCTCGGAATCTAATCAATCTAATATTTGTCATTTGAACAAGGGGGTGGAATTTATTAACATTCAGCTTGATCTTCTACATTGCATGCCATGTGTCAACTATATGATATGTCAAGGACATCTGAGACAAATTGTTGATACTCATAACATATTTTTTGCTGTCTAATTATACTCATGGCATTGTATGTCTTAAAAACCATTCACTATTGGGCACAATAGCTAAGTTGAACCGAGTACGGAGCTTCTTGAACCTAGCCTTGTTTATAGATAGTTCAGCTTGACCTCCTTCTGAACTACAGTAGGTTTCCCATGATGTTTGGTGGAGTTCAAATTTATTCACAATTTAGCTGAGCTTGCCAAATACCCATCATTTATTGAAAATCCGTCACCCCTAACTTTTCAAATGCTAATTAATGATTACAAATTGACATATACTAGAAATATTTAATTTTTTTGCCACATTTTTTTCCCTTCTATTTTTGTTTTTCCTTTTTTGTGGATCAAATAACAGAATAATCCTTAACTTACTTTATTGCATCCCTTTTATATAATGTTCTGAACCCTTTACCTCTGTCAATCGAGTGTCTCATGGCTATTCCCCCATCACAGAACTTTATCAGTAATTTTCACTACAATTTACAGGCTTTATATTGTTTTCTCACTTTCTTTTACTGGTCGTTTCCTTGCACAAGTTCATTAAGAAAATTGTTATCACAATTGCTTACACCCCTTTAATAGGTGTTTATTCCCTTACCTGACTCTCATCAAGAATGAGCTTTTAAAATAGCCAAGCTTGGCACTTGTGCTTGATCAAGAACATAGGTATGAGCTTTGCTGGCCAAGCTCAAGTTGTAATCTTCAGCAGCTTGGCATGTTTTGTTTGCAGCCCTAGTCTCACACCCCTTGGGCTGTGTTTGGACCTCAGATTTGAGTGGGTATTTGTGGAGGGAAAGGAAAAAGGAAGGGAAAAGTGAAGAAAATTTACTTCTATTTCATTCACTTTTCCGTTGCCTCCACAAATCTCTCCTCAAATCCTTAATTCAAACACAACCTTAGTGAATATGGTAAAGTTCAGTGAATAGTTTTTCCCTTATCTTAGACTAATTAATAAATGCCTCTATTAAATTACTAGTTATAGCACATAGGTCTCATTCATGCTCATGTATTGTTTTTATTCTGCTGCTGCTTAGGAAAAGAAGTTACACCGACACTGCCAACTTTACTTTGCGATGTGGGGTCTGCCAAATTGGAGTCATTGGCCAAAAGGTTCTCTTTCTCATTAATACAATTCATATACTGCCTCATATTTATCTTTGTTCTTTCCATTTTAGCTCAAATTTCAATTTGGCCATCGTTGCTATGTCAAAAATTGCAGGAAGCTGTGGAGCATGCACAAGCAACAGGACATGTGAACTTTCAAGAATACAAATGATGATTGAAATTGAGAGTGATAGGGAACAGAAATAAACAAAATTTCTTTCATTGAGCTTGTTCACACTTTAGTTTGTTATTTTGTATGGTCTAGTGAAAATCTGATTGAATTGTTATTGTGGGAACCAATAAACTTGTGTAATTTTATGTTGTTGTAACCAAAATGCAAAACAGTTTTCCCTTGTTATGAATCATGTTGGAGAATTTCATAGTATTTCTGCTCTTTATTGACTCTTTCAGAATACGTTTGTGTTGGCTTTTTGGCTTTTTGAAGGGTATTTTTGTGAATGTGAGCGTGCCAGCAAGGATCAATCAGTCCTTACAGAAATTGTGATTGCCAACCAATTATCAGACGATTGTGTTTTAGTTCTTTTCAGCCTCAATGAAGAGGACTTTTACTGGTGGCTTGATTTAGGAGAAGTTAATAGAAAATAACAGTAATATGAAGAACAATTGAAGTATTTCATAAAAATGAACACTTACAATGGTCCGAACTCAGCCTCAGAGAGGTTTACAACAGCAATCTACTTGAATCTACTTGAAGCTACTCCTACGAATCGAAGTGCAGTGCTGGTATTTAAAGTGCAGGTATTTAAAGAACAGGTATTTAAAGACTGGAAATGTAAATGACTGGAAAAGAAAATATATGAAGTAAATGACTGGTTTGTATGATCTGAGTCCGTCCGTCTTTCTGGGGGCTGCCCTGCTATTTATACTCGTCAGTGATGACCTTCGAACTGCACTTCGAACCGTCGAACTGCTCCTCCATGATCGCTGATCATGCTTCCTTACAAGTAGCTCCATTACGCCATTACTGGCAGTTGAGCTTCCCTCTTGTACTTGGATTTGAATATGAGTAACCGTTGAAGACACGTCATCTTGCATCCCATTATTTGATCTAGTGTTACTCAGATCATGTGAGGACCAATATTTATTGCCACGTGTACGATCAGGATTAAAGGCTTGAATAACCTTCCTTTATTACCCTTACTATGCCACGTGTCGAACTGTAACTGTCTTTTACAAAATATGTAGCCAACAGTTTGATTTGTAGATAAGAGGGCGGGATATGATTATGTTATTTCAAGATAAAATTATCTAACTTTTGGTGCAGATTTTGTGTTGTGGGATAAAATTATTCCAATTTTATCCTGGATGCATAGGACTATTTTATCTCTAGAAAAGTGGGGCAATTTATTTCAAGATAAGACTTGAATTGAAAAACAAAGCGAAACAAAACATGGCCTTAGGAGTTAGGTTTGCAGTATATCAGCATGTATGCATGTAATATTACACCTTGGCATGATTTCTTCATCAAGAAATAGCATTTTTTTCTTTACCTCTACCTTCTCTGTTTTTTTTTTTTTTGGGATAAATCCTCTTCCTTCTCAAAATTATCCTCTTCAATGAGATAGATATACTTACGAGAGGGTAACAATATTTAACTTAAATAGTAGCATTCATGATGAGCGTGATAAGATTATAAACGGGCAATGCATTTGATTTAGATTGATGATTTTTGTGGTGATTGAACAAATGCTCAGATTTGGGAAAGAGGGAGGGGAAAAAAAAATTCATCACCTTAGTCATGAAATTTATTTTCCTTCTCCCTACTTTATTTCATGTATCTCATTGCTTGAAACATCTTTCATTAAACACACAAAAATAAGTACAGAACACAAAGAAGAGGAGAAATTTATCATATTATATCATCAATCTCTGCTACAAACTAATTTTCCTTGATTTTTGGTAACTAGTACAGTACAAAATACAAATAGCATAAGCTCCTTTTATGAGTCATTTTGCAAAGAGGACCCTACAATGTAACCTAAACCTAAACAACCAAAATGTGATGCAGCGGCACATGGCCGCAAGTAGCCTCCCTTGATTGATCAAGATCAATATTGCCGTGCCAAGGGGCTAACAGAAGCAATGAGAGTTCAAACTCTTACCAAAGCATGGTTGAATTGTGCGAAAATGGCAGTTTCAATCAGCAGAAGATGGAAAAGCCTTGCATGGTTTGAAGAAAAACCACACATTTCCATCTCAGTTGATGAGAAAATTCATGAGGCAGCAATGAATATGCAAAACTTGCTACTTCTCAAATCTTCTGTTTAAGAACTTGCCGCAACTGGATCTTCTGACTTTCCATCCTCGCCTCCAAAAGCTTCGATTTTAAACTGCTCTTCTGCATGCCACGTGGCCATTCAATGCACCCTTTCATCCCTCGAGTTATGTGTGGATTCCCTGATTCAGGTGAGCTCCATTGCCCACCAGAACCCCGATCTGGAGAAATGATGGCCCCATTTGAAAGCCTTCCATTGGAGAGCCTTCCATTCATTCCTTCAACTGACATTATCTTGAAGTTCTCACCAATATTTGGGCCTGATCTCAAAAGCCGGGATATGGATGAAACTTTCTTCAAACGCATCTTTGGTGCATCACAAACTTCACTTATTTCAGTAATTGGCGTCTCATCGCATGCATTTTCTTCAAATTCTGTTCCACTTCCTGACATATTGCTGTCTCGACGAATCTTGTTGACAGATGGGTCACTACCCTCAGGTGAATAACTTGAGCCCTGATCCTCAAGATGGCTAACAGTTTCCCACCCACTCCCGTCTTCTTCTATATCACCATTCTGATCGAAATATGCATTAGAATGCATCTGCATGCCGTCTTTATTAAAAGCATTAACTTCGGGACTCACAGCATGAACCTTGGAGGCATGGCTAGCAGGACTGTATCCAACACATGGTTCAATATCTCTCTCATTGGCTTCACCGAAATTAATATCTTCAAAAACAGAGAAAATATCTGGATTTGGTGGCTCATATTTAAATTCATTGATGTCTTGGAAATTCACAGAGGCGGCAGCCTGTCGGAGGAACTCTGCTGTTCTCATCTCCTCCATATCTGGGGTTGCACTTCTTGAACGTAGAAAAGTCTGTAGATCTGACACCAGCTTGTTCATCTGAGAATACTTCTCTTCAACCATCACTTTTGCATCAATTAACTTCATCTGAACCCGTTCTTCACGCCAAACCTCGGCCATCTGCAACATCTTCCTCTCCTCTTCCACTTCGTCACGGAATTTCATGGATTCCCTCTTTAATGCTTCAGCTTCAGCCTTGTCTTCTCCAATTTCCTTAGCAAGCTCATCACACACTTCCTCTATTAACTCTCTAGACTTCCGCTCCTTTTCATAGTCCTGCAAATAGCGCTTTGCCAATAACTTGGCATCAGACAGCTCATTGACCAACTTGGAATTAACAATTTCCAACCTTTGGCGATTTTTTCTCTCTCGGTTCAAGTCAGCTTTGACATCATCAATAATTGCACGGACTTTCTCATGTTCTCTGCTCCGCCAGGTGGCCCTTTCCTCACTAAGTTTTCTTAAGAAGTGCTCCAGTTTCTTTTTTGATGACTGTTTCTCAGTCTCGAGCCCATGGATACGGGATCGGGCTTGTTCAAGTTCTACCTCCATTGCAGATACGGCTGAGATAGCATTTATTTGTTGGTCAAGATGCTTTGCGCAATAAATCTGGTTGACCTCGTCTGATGTTTTCAAACATTTAGGGTCCCATTTCGTTGCACCCTCCATAGCGGAGTTGGAAAATTGAAATGACGGTTCAAACTGGAAAACATGAGCATAGTTAGGATCCAATGAGTAGAGAACGAAAACAAACAGGAACTTTAACAACAACAATACAGAATGCCACATAAAGAAAGTTAGTTCTTGCAACTAGATAAGAGCAAAAAACCATAGTTGAACATCGATAGACCATTCCATATCACTGTTTCTTTTCAAATTTTTCACTTTTTCATTTTTCCCCTTTCAGTCCCACAGATCAATGTTTGATAATTTGATAGATCAGACGGTTAGAATAACTATATAATTTGATTGGTCAGATGGTTAGAATAACTATATCAAATCACCTAGGGGAAGCCATGTTCAGATAAACAAAGCCTCCTCATCAGACCAAAATCCCAAAAGCGAGGCCTTGCCTTGTCCCATAATGCATCTGAGAATATTCCATTCAACATTATGCGAATTAGGTCTGAAAATTCCATTTAATTTTTCTGGGAACCTTGACGGCACGAGGGAAAATTATTATTAGTAGTCAACAAAAAGGTACAGAAAGAGAGGGGGGCATAATGAACCTGACCTCTCAAATCTGCACAAGCCAACTCGGATGCATTCAAAAAATAAATAAATAAAAATTGCTACCTCAACAGAGAGTAAAGTAGAAGTTCCCAACCTATCTAAATTCACATAACCCCTAACAAAATAAGACAATTCATTGAAGTTGTGAAATAATTTATCTTGGTTCACATAAAACCAATCAGCCAAAGCATCTGCTGCACAAGTTGCCTCTCTGAAACAATGCCCAACTTTAAAATGAAAAGCATCCAACATGTTCTGAAGTGAAGAAACTTGAGCGAAGAAACGAAAAATTCTATTCAATATTGTGGGAACTAAGATTTGAAAATTTCCATTTAATATGATCTGAATTTAGATTAAAATGATGTAATTAACAAATTGGGGGCATAGAAAATTGTGCTACCAAATGAAGGCTCTTATTCAGTTCCAACTTTCAGTACAATCTTAACTCCATCAGTTCAGATAGTCTCAAACAGTTACACCACTTATTAAATATCTTAAAAAAGATATGTACCTTACACAAATGCCCATTTCTTGGACCAGTGACTGATCTAGGACTCTGCATCATATCCTTTGTATCATAACTATGTCCTCTGCTATTGTGATTGGCTCTATACTGCAGAGAGAAACGAAACCAATAAGTAAAAATCTCAATTCTCCAAAGTTGGCCACATTAGCCCCAAAACCAATCCTAATCTGATCATCAGTACAAGAATAACAGACACCCAAATCTTATTGATCAAACCATGATTTTTGGAAGGCATTACAGATACAACATAGGTGTCCCAGAGAAATATGAAAATGCCATTGATCATTGTCATTATATTCCAACCAAGAAAAAAATAAATAAAAATCAAAGTGTGCAAAGAAAAGATTTAGACAGTTCAAAAGAATGAGAACTAGAAATGTATCTTTTCTGTGAATAGTTAACTGTTGGAACATAATTGCTCTTAACTATAGATGTTAAAAGATCAATGGTCTGAAAGCATCTTTGGCAATTAATTCAATGAACAAACTAAAAAACAAAAGAGATGTGTTTTAGTGTTTTTCTTATTAATCATGCAATAAAGCAACTTTAAGAAGCAAATTAAAAATATTGATTCAAAAGATCAGACATTTATTCATATCGTTTGATTCAGAACACTGTAAATAAAAAAAAAACAACCTGAAAGTACAGATCTCGAGAGTAAATGTACCTGAAACCCTAACTGGTCCTTCTTCGGAAGTACGGCGGGAGTGACCTCCGGCAATTGTAAACGCCACAGTACGGCGGCGAGCTTCCTCGAAGATACCACCCATCTCCATTCGAGTATCCCTCTCTCCTTCCGGCGACTTTTCCGACCCAACTCCGGCGGAGGCTTCTGTTCCTTAGCTCCGTCATGGAACTTCCAGCGGAGGAGAGGGGTTTCCGGTCTGCTCCTCCTAGCTGCCGGAGCAACGTCCCTCTTTAGCCTTAGTCCGGCGACGGAACAGCCGGGGCTCCTGGATTTCCGGCGAGGTGGTCTCTGAGACTTGGATTTGTGAAAAAGATCTGAATCTGGAGATGGGTTTAGGGGTTTGGAAGAGAGAATTGATGGGAGGTCAGTGCTTCGAGTGATCTTCATCGTCGAAGTGGTGATTGAGGCATTGGAGAGCCTCGACTGAGGTTTTTGGAGAGATAGAAAGCTTTCATTGACCCACCCCTTTCTCTCTCTCTCTGTCTATGGCCTCTGCTGCGGCGATATGAAAGTGTGCCTTGTGGGTGTTTGTGGAAATGCAGAGAGAGAGAGAGTAGAGAGAATACAGACAGAACAGAGCAGAACAAGGCGTACAGAGATATGTGTGTGTGTGTGTGTGTGTGTGTGTGTAGAATAGCATAACATAACATGGGGAGTGGAGTGTATAAGATGATGGATTGTGTATATTTGTACGGTCAACGTTTTTTACAAATTTTAATCCACGTACATGTTCTTTCGTGGTTGCCTTAAATGCCGCACAAAACGGTGAAGGAAAATGGTAGGTATATCAAACAATTTATTAAATATTTTGTCAAATCTTTTATATGAATGTGAGATTCATACAAATTTATATGTGTGTAGATTTCATATTTATGTGAGAAATTTGATAAATTATTTAAGACTTCTAATATTACTTTGTTTCAGAATCAATCCAGCCATGCACCAGTAAAAATAGAATAATATTATATATATTAATTAATGTATATACTAGTGTACTAAACGATAATGTAATATTATTTGTATAGTTTTGGTTATGAGTGCTGCTATTAACACTCCATAAATTATTTTGAATCTCTTAATTTTTAGTTTTTTTTTATTGCAATAATGACCTCAAATAAAATTACTACAAATGACATTATTAATTTTAAGACACCACATCTCACAATTAAATCTACACCTACTACATCATGAATTAAGAGCACCCACTTCTGTGACCACTCATCCATCTTTCCCAAATCCCACTTTCAAAACCTATCCACCCTCCAAACATTGAAAACCATTTAGCGGCAATATTCTAGCAGTAATGGTGGCAACCATTTGATTACCTATACTTTTCCAGCTATGACAATAAGTGAAAAATTTTCTTGCAACCACAACTCTATAAAAACTAGAGAAGTACAACAATAAAAATTTAGAGGAGGTTCATAACTTTAATGTTGTTCTTAACTCAAAGGAGATTGGCCTTATAAAGGTAGGTTTCTTGAAAAAAATGACAAAAATAATAAAATATTTTCGTTATTTTTTTCGGGACCAAACTCCAGAACATATGACTAAAATTCGGGAACACAGGCCTAAACATTGTTTATTTATTCGGGAACTGGTAACCGAACATTGATTTTAAACTTTTTGTGATCTGGGATGAGTCCAGAATGAATAAAACTAGAAGAATTAAACCGTTTTAAGAACTGAGAATCGGAGATTTTAATCTCCGAAAAGTGATTGTGTGATAGGTTAAGACAAGTAAGGTTGGTGACAACCATAGACAAGTTTTGTATTGGAGCATCTCCTAAAAGATTATTATGGCTCAAATCAAGAGCTTGGACTTGAGAACAATGAAAAATTTCATATGGGAAGTTGGTTAAATCGACGGAGTCGTATTCTTTTTCTTTTTCTTTCTTCTCTTCTTCTTCTTCTTCGTGGGTTTTGAAAAGGATGAGACTTTTCTTCTTCTTAGTGGGTTTGTTAGGATTTTTTGAAAGGAAGGTTTTTTTGAGGGTGTGGGGGTGTGCATTCAATTGGTAGAATGTTTAAGGATAATTTTGATATTATTTGGAGGGCAAAAAGAAATTTTAAGGATTTCAAAATTTACAAATGAGGGTCCAAAGAAATGGGGAGGTCCAAAATAATTTAAAATGTGCTAATAGCACCACTCTTTCGGTATTTATAACTTATATAATAAATGTGGTCAATAATAATTTCATAACACTAGTTAGTGCACTAGTATGTACATTAATTGATGCATATAACACTACCGGTAAATTTTTTTACTAATATGTCAAAAAAGATTTTGAAGTATTTTATTAAATATTTCATATAGTGGTAGAATTTATATCATATGAATCTCATGTAGATTTTATATTTATGTGAGATAGTTAATAAAAATTTTGATAAATCTTTTAGGCCTCTAACATTACTTTTATGTTTTATTGATTGATTGGTATGAGATGAATTAAATGAAATAACCATTCATTTAGCTCTCTTACAGAAAATTATTCTCTTGTAATGAAGAATAATAATTTTATTTTCAATACGTTTTTCATCATTTTTTAGTCAAACTAAACATGTGAATAAATTTTTTTACAAAATGATCATCCCGTTCCAATTTATAAACCAAACAACAATAATGTTAGAGGGCCACAATTTTTATGGCCACAATGATTCAAAACTACCAAAACGACGTCGTTTTGGCATGTTTTGCATCCAAAACGACGTCATTTTGACAGTTTTGAGCCATTGTAACCACAAAAATTGTGACCCTCAAACATTTTCCACCAAACAAACCTTACTGCCTTGCTTGCAGGTGCTAGTAATTATTGTTTATATTTTATTTATTTACAGTATAATTAATATTATTGATTTTTAAATTCTAAATAAAGTTGGTTTTATCTTCTCAAAATTTGAATAATTTATGTCCTTGCTGAGAATTCAAACAAAAAATGCACAAAATTTTTCAATAATATATAATTTAGATTCAATTTTTACATAGGTAAAATCAATTTGGACCATATGTTATTTATTTATTTTTTTACTATTTTTCTATATACTTTTTGGTTATTAGCATTGTTGCATACTTTGTATTCAGGGGCGGAGGCAGCATGTGACCAGGGGGTCACGTGCCCCTGGATTTTGAAATTATTTATTTATTTTTTTTTTACAAACATAAAAAAAATTTAAATAAAAAATTAAAAAAATATTATTAGAGTGAAATGTCAATGACATTTTAAAAATTATAAAAACAATAATGGTTGTTTTGATTGAAAATGAAGAGGCTATTATAATAAACTATATTAGCTATGAAAATTTTTGAATGTAACGACGATATCATTATTAGTGATATGTAAGTATAAGTAATCTCACTATAAAGATATGAAATTTATTAGATTGTTATTTACATTTGACATGTGAGGTTCACTTTTTATGCATTTATTTACCATTAGTGGGTGATATTACATACCAATGATGACATGGTATTACCATTATATTGAATTTTTAATCAAATTTTGTATCAAAAAATAATTTATCATTATATAATTTATTTTAAGGCTTACATCCATATTTTTTTTTTGGTATTGTCCATGATACACTAGTTATAAATAATTTTTTTTTTGATACTTCCTGAAATCAATCGTAAAAAATTTACGTGAAATATTTTTTGTAAAAATTATTATAATTAGTAAGTGCCCTCTCTATATTAAATTTCTCGCTCCGCCACTATTTGTATTATCATTTTCATTCATCATTTATATGTTTTTATATTTTTTATTATATCATTGTTTTTCATTCACCCCTCCACATTTTAAGTGAGAGCAATATTAATGAATTCATAAGAAAAATTCATCTACCTTAACTTTTTTTTAAAAAAAAAATTGTATCATTGCGGTCACATATTTCATTAATATCATGTTTGGAACACGTGTTTCAAAAATAAATTAAAAATCAAAAGGTGAGATGGAATGGTTAGAGATGGTTATTGACTAATGGGTGGGATTAGTGGTTTGATTTAATTCGAGAAGTAATGGTTGAAGGTGATTATAGATAGTGAAAAATACAAGACAAAGATAGTTGTCGAGGAATCCGGATCCTCCGTCGCACTCCCCTGTAGTGGTTTCCTATCACCCTTCAAAACGACGTCGTTTTGGAGGTTTTTTTTTTTTTTTTTTTTTTTTTTTTTTTTTCTTTCTTTCTCTTTTTCTGCTGATGGGTATTCTTCTTCTTCTTTCTTTCTTTCTTTCTCTTTTTCTGCTGATGGGTATTGGTTGTTGAGGCCGTTTCTTCTTCACAACACAGAGAGAGGCACCAACACATCACATGCCCAACAACACCACAACTCACCACTCTCTCTCTCTCTCTCTCTTCACAAAACCCATTTTCTGGGTCTCTTTCAATTCTATTTAAATTCTTTCATTTCTTGATTCTTTTTATTTCTGGGTCTCTTTCAATTCTATTTAAATTCTTTCATTTCTTGATTCTTTTTATTTTTTGGTGATTTTTGCCATCTCTGTTTAGGTCCTGCGACTTTGAGGCTATATTTGGCTTCCCATTTGTGAAGGAAAGGGAAAGAAAATGCAAAGAAAAACACTTTTCCTTGTTTGATTACCATGAAAAACAGGGGGTCAAAAGAAAATATGATGAAGAGACAATCTTAATTTTAGGTTACCATTTTTTGCCTTATATTTTTTTTATTGATTTTTGAACTTTTGCTCCAATTTTTAAATATTTTGTTAAAGGAGGAGAGAAAGCATTAACTACTAAGGAAAGTAGACTTTCTTTTCCTGTTCTGCTCGCTTTCTTGAACTCAAGCTCAGAAGCATAAGATTTAAATTTTTTAGCAGGCCCTAATTATAAAAACTTCACAATCAATGTAAAGCACTTGAACATTAATGTTCAAGCAGCTTTCAAAATTACATCCACGAAGCTATACACAACTAATTCTGAACAGAAAATGGGTTCTTCTTGTTCATCTGGGTTTGAAATTATTCTGGGTTTGATGATGGTGATGAAATTTGATTTTAGTTCTTGGGTTTGAAATTTTGGGTGGGTAAAAAAATAGATAAAGCAGAGAAATTATTCTGGGTTTGATGATGATGATGATGATAATGATGATGATGATGATGATGAAGCAGATAGGCAGATATGGGTTTCTTGGGTTTGTAGGTAAAAAAAAGATGAAGCAGAGAGGCAGATCTAGAGATCCAGAAACCAGAGGGGAAAATCAAAATAAGAAAGAAGAAAAAGAAGGGTCGATGATTGTTGCTCCTCTCTCCGATTCAATTTGCAATCTGAAATGAGGAGAGAGAGAGAGAGAGAGAGAGAGTTATCAGTGAGAGAGAGAGAGACATAGCAGTGTTGGAAAGAAAGAAAGAAGAACCAGAAAAGAAAAGAAAAAAAAAACCTCCAAAACGACGTCATTTTGAAGGGCGATAGGAAAGCGTTGTAGGAGAGTGCGACGGAGGATCCGGATTCAG